TCCTTCTTCAGAGTTTCCACTGTGATATAATCTTTTTATAGGCTTTGCTCACATGCCTCCTTTTACAAGGATTAAAGTTTTCAATAGCTACCTTCCCAACCAAGACGGAGTTTTTGATAGAATAGAATATTTTTTTCATAATTGGCTATAATTAGTTTCTTGTAATTATGTTGTATCATTAATAGATAGCTAATCAAACATTACACAATAGTTGTATATATTCTATTCAGATGAACGAGAAACCTAAGAATTCCATTATCTTACATGGTATCAACCCTAATCGATCCCTCTCTCTAGAAGGAAAAAAGCGCGTATTTTATTTCTTCTCCTTCGCTAAAGCAGTCATCACCAAAACAGGACCTTCGTCCTCTATGTACCGTCGCCGCCGAACACGAGAACCACCGTGTTTCTCGCCCTCTTCTCTATCCGCGTTGTCGTCGACACGCACCACACCACCGTGCACAAGAACCCACGCGTTTCTTCTTCACTCTGTTCGCGATTCAGCGATTCAGATATGTGTTCGCAATTTCGATCTCTGTTATGATGCTTCCGACAAACACAACACCACTGGGATGTGCCTTTTCTTCTCCACGTCGTGCTTGCTGTTCGTAATTATTTTCTTTTCCACTGCAAATCATGTCTAATTCAGAACACAACGACTCCAATACTCGTCCAACCGCCTCTACCACAGGTGATTCCGGCCAGCCCAAGCTCACTATGCTCAAAGGTTCAAAAATGGAGTTTCATCCCGCCCTTGTCGTCTCCAATATTAGGAACCACAATCCTATTATTCTTGAGATGGAAAAGGATCAATATGGAACTTGGGCCGAGCTTTTCCTCATTCATGCTCGCTCACATCGAGTCCTACATCACATCGTTCCATCTACAGGAACAGCACCACCAGCCTTTACCGACGTCGAGCATGAACAACGGACCACTTTAGATGCCACCGTTCTTCAGTGGATTTATTCCACTATTTCTACTGATTTATTTACCACTATTTTGGAACCCGACTCCACTGCAATGGAAGCATGGAATCATTTGGCCGATATTTCTCAAGATAATCAAAACGCTCGTGCTGTCATTCGTGAGCAAGATTTCTCCAACACTCGCATGGAGAATTTTCCCAATGTCTCAGCTTACTGTCAGCGTCTTAAGATGCTCTCTAGCCAGTTAGAGATAATGTACATGAAGCTACTACATTATCTCTAACACCGACGGATATTGAGGCAGCTATGCACACCATGTCTCTTCACACTTCTGGCAATTAGTGGTACATGGATACTAGCGCAACATCTCACACGGCAACATCTCAAGGTAATCTCTCGTCTTATTTTCCTTTAAGTAATTCAAATCATAAAGTTATTGTTGATTGTGGCCACGGAATTCCAATTCACGGCACCGGACACACACAAATTGCCACCTCTTACTAACCTATTCACTTAAACCATGTCCTGCATGCCTCAAAATTATTAAAAAATAATTTTTGTGAGACGACTCACCACTGACAACAATGTCTCTGCTTCATTTGACCCTTTTGGCTTTACTGTTTCTGATTTTCAGACGGGGATCCCTCTCATGAGGTGTGACAGCCATGGCGATCTATAGCCAGTCACCATTCCCTCCAATTTTGTCGATCTTACATCCAGTTTTTGGCACGATAATCTTGGTTACCCTGGTGTGTCTGTTTTAAATTCACTTTGCAATAATAAGTTCATATGTTGTGAAGCTTTTAATTCGTCTGTTATTTGTGACTCTTGTGTTTTAGGCAAACAAGTGAAATTGCCATTTTTTAATTTTCAAATTACAACTTTGATGCCCTTTGATATTTTACATAGTGATTTGTGGACGTCTCCTATTTTAAGTTATGTTGGCCATAAATATTATGTCTTATTTTTAGATGATTTTACAAATTTCTTGTGGACATTTCCTATTAGCAGAAAATCTCAAGTCTTTGAAATGTTTCAGTCAATTACAAAACTTATTCAAACACAATTTCTACAAAAAGTCAAATCTTTTTCAATGCGACAATGGCGGTGAATATAATAATGAGCTATTTCGAAAATATTACACTGATAATGGTCTTGTTTTTCGTTTCTCTTATCCTCACACATCCTCATAAAATGGAAAAGCCGAACGCAAAATAAGAACCATTAATAATATGATAAACACTATGCTAGTTCATTCCTCTGTTCCTCCATCATTTTTGCATCATGTTCTTCACATGGCAACTTATCTTTTAAACATTCTTCCTTGTCAAACACTTCAAAATTAGTCACCGAGATCCCATCTATACACATTTAAGAGTATTTGGTTGTCTATGTTATTCGTTATTCCTGTCACCTACCATTCATAAGTTACAACCTCGCTCTACTCCGTGTGTTTTCTTGGGTTATCCACCAAATCATAGAGGTTATAATTGTTTTGATTTGTCAAACAGAAAATTAATAATTTCGAGGCATGTTATCTTTGATGAAACTCAATTTCCCTTCACCAAGATACACCACCATCACCTCAATCTTATCACTTCCTAGACAATAACATACACCCATACTTTATACAACAGTGGCAAAATCAAATATCACCGCCTATTGCACATAACCAACCAACACGAACAACTAGAATTGACCAACCACTCTCCTTAATAAACCAACAATCCCCGTCTCTTACCTCTCCGATTAACTCACCCACCACAATTTCCTCTACCTCACCCCCGCCAATCCAGTTGTATCCCCCTCCACCTACACAAACTATCACCACATGTAGCATGAAAGGCATTATCAAACTCTGAAAAATATTTAACTTATCAATCTCTCACTCCAACCACATCATCTTTCCCATACCTAAAAACCCTAATTTGGCCTTATCAAACCCGAATTGGAAATCCACAATGCAATCTGAATTTGATGCTCTTACTAGAAATAAGACGTGGGATTTATTTCCTTGTCCTTGTGATGCTAATCTTATTCGATGTATGTGGACTTTTAAGCATAAGAAAAATTTTGATGGCTCCTTTGAGTGTTATAAGTGTTATAAGCCTCGTCTTGTAAGTGATGGCAGGTCACAGGTTGCAAGTGTGGATTGTGATGAGACTTTCAGTCACGTGGTGAAATCAGCTACCATTCGCACAGTACTCACCATTGCTTTATCAAAATCTTGGCCTATACAGCAACTGGATGTACAAAATACTTTTTTACATGGTGATCTACATGAAACTGTCTACATACATCCGCCATTGGGTTTCCGCGACCCTCACTATCTAGATTATGTTTTCAGTTTGAAGAAATCACTTTATGGTCTCAAACAAGAGTCGAGAGCATGGTACCAACGTTTTGCTTATTATGTCGCAACCATTGGTTTTCAACATAGCACATCAGACCACTCCCTCTTCATATATTGACAAAGTTCAAAAATGGCCTACATTCTGCTCTATGTAGACGACATCATCCTTATCACCTCTACTCATGCACTTTGCAAATTCATTATGTCACTCTTAGCATCTGAGTTTGCAATGAAAGGTTTGGGTTCATTGAGTTATTTTTTGTGAATTATTGTATCTCGTCATCCTAGTGGCATCTTTCTTAGTCAAAGCATTTATGCCTCAGAGATCATCGAACGTGCAGGTATGGCGCCCTGCAAACCGTCCGCCATTCCTGTTAACACGAAGCAGAAACTTAGCACCTCTTTCGGCACACCATATGAGGATCCATCACTATATCAGAGTCTTGCAGGGACTTTACAGTATCTCGCCTTCACTCGACCTGACATATCATATGCGGATCAACAAGTTTGTCTTCACATGCATGCAGCTAGTACATAACACATGTTTGCTCTCAAGCGCATTCTGCGCTATGTTCAGGGTACCATACATTTTGAGTTACATTTATCACCATCCCCTATTGCGCATCTTATCTCATACACTGACGCTGATTGGGGTGGATGTTCGAACACCAGACGCTCCACATTTGCCTACTATGTGTTTCTTGGTGACAACCTTATTTCCTGTTCTTCCAAAAGCCAACCCACTTTTTCTCACTAAGCCGAATATAGAGGTGTTGCTAATGTTGTATCTAAGTCATGTTGGCTTCGTAATCTTTTACTGGAGCTTCATTTTCCTATTCCTCGGGCCACTTTGATGTATTGTGACAACGTTAGTGTCATTTATCGCTCTGGTAATCCTATGCAACATCAGCGTACCAAACATATCGAGATGGACATTCATTTTGCTCGGAAAAAAGTAGCTCGTGGTCAAGCACGCGTATTCCATGTTCCCTCCCGACATCAGATTGCAGATATCTTCACCAAAGGGTTTCCTCGCATTCTCTTCGATGATTTTCGGACCAATCTAAACGTTCGTGAACCCCGCTTCGACTGCGGGGGTGTGATAAAATAGAATATTTTGTCATAATTGACTATAATTAGTTTCTGCTAATTATGTTGTATCATAAATAGATAGTTAATCAAACGTTACGCAATAGTTGTATATATTCTATTCACATGAATGAGAAACCTGGGAATTCCATTATCTTACTGTTTTAACTACGGAGACTTCCAAAAACAATCTAGAGCTTTTTAACAGTAGGCTAAACTCACAAACTATCTAAGAGTTTTAACTACTGAGACATCTCCAACCAATACGAGGTTTTAACAACTCCAGATTAAACAAAATGCAAGGTGTATGAAATTAATATTAGTATGTATTTGATATTGCAATATGTTCATAATGTAAACTCAACACAGTCGATTACCTCGATGATCCTAAAGTAGCTACATAGTACTTGTATATCTTCTGTAACTGCTATGGCAGTGGGCAATTTAACTTAATACATTTAAAAAGGTTCTCTCTTTTTTATTTGTTGCAATATAGTATATATGACTAGAATTTACATGTACAGAAGTACTTTGTAGGAACAAACTTGACATTAAACTACATGTATCTTTCAATTCTGGTGAAATTTATTAACCAATTTGTTTACAACTCTCATATAACTATGCAATTGCTAAAGGCAACAAGTTAGCAACTTCTTCCAACCTGAATGGCTCTTCTTTTCCTGCAAGCATTAAGAATATGACATAAGTATATTCATCTGTGTACCAAAAACTATGTAATGTCTTGAAATTAAGAACTTTATGTAGTTGAACTTACTGCCTCATCTCTACTTGTTGTTTGATCTTTAACAGACCATTTAGCCAATCTTTCTTTAGGATTTTTCACTAAAACTTTTTGACTTGAATCTTCAAATGCTGCATTCACCTTATCCTTCTGTGAATGATTTTTTAGCCAATAATTAACTACATTGTTTGTTTCTTCATCACCTTGCCCTGAATTGCTCGATACAACACTTTGGCTAATATAATCATTATTAACTTCTTTTCGTACCTGACCTCTACGGTCATGATTTGTCGAATAAGACTTATTCAAATCTATTGAAAAATACGAGTCGCTAAATTGGTTACTTGATAATGGTGGACTTGTATCATCAGAAAGAGGAGTCATTTTATCGCGAAGTGGAGTTTTTCCTTCCAAAATTTCTAAGGAAATAGAATGAGTAGTTGTAATTTCTTCTGTTTCTTGCAATCCAAGTTCAACAATCATAGCTTTTTTTCCATTGCTTGTACTATGTTTTTTCAATGGACTAAACAATTTCTTATTCCATCCAGAAACCGCACCATCAATTCTAACTCCACCACCAATATTCTTGACTGCACAAGCTATATGTATGTCAAATTCACACATGTTGCACCTATAGAGCCACCCTTTGTAACTTGGTTTATCGCATAGATCACAGAAGAAATCATAAGGTGGAGCAAACTCAAGCTTAATTTTGTGTGGATGTTGCGCGATAGAAACTGAGAGAGGAAGTGTGATACATATAGAATGAAAGAAGATGTTGCATTCAGCGCAGTGGTAGCAGAAGCCAGTGGCGTGTTGCTTACACGCCATACAGTGGAAGGTGGATTTCGTAGCGGCCGATGAAGGTATTACGAGGAGGAAGAGGTCGTGATTTGGATGCGAAGGATGGTTTGTGATTAAGGGTGTTTTGTAACAAACGCTGTGGAGATAGAATGGACATGTTTTGCAGGTGTAGTAATGTTGCTCATGTGTGATTGTTTGGTTGCAACCTGAACAGGTTATGTTTTTTGTAGAGGGTGTGGTTGTGTGTTGCAGAAGATGTGGATGGCTAAAGTGAGAAACTAGTGAGTTTTTTTGTGTTGATGATTCCATTTCTGTTTTTGTGGAAGTGCTTCTAACAATAGAGTTAGTACTCTTTTTCTACTGTTGAACATTCCAAAGTTTTTTTATAACCCAATTTTTGTTGAAAAAGAAACTATTTTTTGATTATTGAAAACAAGCTGCTATGAGATTATTATTATTTTAATAGTTTAGTGGTTGAAATTTTACTTTTTTTTTTTTTTAAAGAGAAATAAGTGAAGTTTTACGAATTCGAATCTACATTTCTGCAGTAATATATCTTTGCACAACTATCACTGAGTTTATTAGACATACGTATTAGTATTAATATTTTTCTTTTATCATAAGGATTAATATTATTATTAGTTGTTTGTTGTTTGTGATTTTTCTTTTATCAAAAGGATTAATATTATTATTAGTTGTTTGTTGTTTGTGATTGATGCTTTTCGGAGCAATCTAATGTTGGGGACATGTGGATGATTATTGGGAAGTCCGGAATTATGATGTTAAAATTTGTCATTTGTCAAATAGAGGTTAAAAGAAATAAGATTCCTCACATTTTAGCCGGTGGAGTTGGATGCTATTTTAATTAATCTACTTTCATTTGTGTAATATAGTTCAGACTTTAAATTTATGTTGGCCTTGTTTGTTCAGAGTCACGGAAGGTAAGTCAACTAGTAATAACTAGCATAAGATAAAACACTTTGAGAGAAAGCTTGAAGCTAAAAACAATTAAATCAAACTACAAGTCTACAATTAACAATGAGCGTTTGTCCACACAATAAAAATGAATATCAATTGTATTAAGTTGAAAATTCTACATTCATTTATATTTTAAATTTGATTTATATATTGATAATATAAAACTATTTTACACCTATATCTAATTGTATAAATATTTTCTTGAGGTATTTAAAAACTAGCATAAAAACTGTCACTACATAAATATCTCAACATTGTGAAACAGTTGAAGCAGTTATTACTTATTTGAAGATCTGAATCATTTTGAAAGAAAGATTGTTCCCAGTAAACCAGTTGTTGATAACTTAGTCATATATGTTTTATCTTTAGTTAATCTTATTAGTGTTTAATTTGAAACATGACTTTATCCCTGAATGAAGATTTTGTTTGTAATTCTGGCATTAACGTGGTAGTAGTTTAGTTTCTTGTTAAATAATAAATAAAAGGTACTACAAGAAATCGATGAATGTTGATCATATCTCAGTTCAATGTGCTAGCTTCTACTTACAATCAAATTTTACACCTTTTTTTTAGTTTTCAAATTTTACACTCTTTTAGTTTTCAAATTTTATTACAATTGATTGAAATATTATTAAAACCTGTCTATTTATCCGTTAAAAAAATATGTTGAGTGCAACTATTTCTTAAATAAGAAGTTATGCTACTATCATTTCAGCAGAAACAAAGAATGACATTAATGTGCATACAACTCTTGATACTAATCATAAAAAGATGAAACTGTGTCGAGACAACCTATTCATCATGCATGATCTATCTGCACTGTGAGGTCTAGCACACCAAAATCATGGTACAGACGATGCACAAATTCTAGAATTGGCCGATCATCCACTCCTTTCTTTACCTGTCAGTATTATACACTACAAATCAGCATCTACAGTGCAGCTACTTAATACAAAAAGAAAAGGAAACATGACATGCTACTAACAATAATACAAATAATAGAAAACCATATTCAGGTCTTTATTTAATATTTTACATTTGAGCGCACTCTTACAATGTGAAGGGTGTAACATATTTGCTTCGTTCAGGGTGTGGAAAAAACTTATTCACAAGAACCAAATTTTAAAATATGGTGCACGGACTTCAAAAGTTTATATTATTTGGTTTAAAAACTAGTTCAAATTCATTTTACTAAAACCATTAAAAATCGGTGTCCACTTTTTAAAACAATGGTTAATCCACTTTTCAAACTCATTGTCTTATTTTTGTTTTATGGTCATAAATGACAATTAAAATAATGTATATGTAATAAATAAAACTTTATATATATATATATATATATATATATATATATATATATATATATATATATATATATATATATATATATATATATATATATATATATATATATATATATATATATATATATATATATTACCTTTTTTTTAAGAAAACTTTTTGTTTTCGTAGTCTCATAATGATGCATTTAATCTTTCATCTTACATTTTAAATGTTTATTATTAGATTGGAATAATAGGATTACTAGGTTGTTTTTGTATGCTTCTTACCTTGTATTAATTCAATTATTAAACTAATATGTTTTTTCTTATAAATCTTTTCCACCAAAGTGATGACACATGAAGTCAGAAAAATGATAAGTGTAAAATAGTATATTGAGAGCACTTTCTTGAAAATGTGGGGAAAAAAATTTATATAAATGAGAGAAAATTACATGCATGAGAGAGAGATTGACTATTTTGTAATTACACAATTTTGATTTTTCTAATTGAAAATTATTTTTATTTTTTTTACGGTTCCTTAGCATTTTTTTTCATAATTATTACTAATTATTTCAATTCAATTTAATTTATTGTCAATAAATGGTTATTAATTTCAAAAATGGTTGGATGAAGTTAAGAATAAGTTGTTGGATTAAGAATTAAATTTTAATCGAAATAAGTTTGAGAAAAAATTGGTTTTAAAACTGGTCCAAACAAAAACTAGTTTTTTAGTACAAACCAAATTGAATCAATTTTCTTCAACCCCTCACAATCTTCGATTTTTTCTAGAACCAAACCCTACATCGAGATAATTTGTGCAAGAAATTCAACACTCCCGTTGAAAAAGAAAACAGTCAGCAGATGAACGTTATCATCTATTCCACAAGAAAGGCCTTTTTTGCATGGCTTTCAATGGTCAGAGTCAGCAATTTGCACGGCTTCAAAAACACTAGGTTTTTAAGTATTATTATTTTTAAATCATTTATTTTATTTTTCAAAATAGAAAAATTTAGAGGCTTATTAGAGAGGAAAACAACAGGGGATGAGGCTTCACAGTGGAGTGGAATGGGGAGAAGTAGACAGCAGCAGAACCTTGACGGGTTGGTTTTTCTCTCATGCCTTTTTGTCCTCTCTCTTTTATAAGTTGTTTTCAAGATTATAGTTCATATGAGATTGAGATATACGAAAAATCATAGATCAAAATGAATTCGTGAAGTAAATTTGGGGGCCACGATTAGGGCTGGAGTAAAGGATGGCATTAGAGGTGCTGGGAAAGTGAGATTTCAAATTTTAGTAAAACTTGTGGGTATTTTTATCAATTAATTACGAAGTAATGCGTTGTCCATCGCCTATTATAGGGATGCACCGCAGACAAAGTCATATTTTCAAGGGTTGTCTACAAACATACTCTATGCTAATAACAAATTACCTGCATCGACAGTGAACCAACCACACGACCGGGCACCAATTCCCAAAACCGGGCCTGAGATACTTCCAGTACATCTTCCCGAGCGGAAATCTGAACAACATATAACATACAATACTTAGAAAAGTAAACACATCAATGCAGTGCAGGGACCACAATTACCGAGCCGCATTGGGGTATAAAGCACATTTTTCCCAAGAAAAAAGTTATAACCTGTCTCAAGCATTTGCTAAAAGCAGTAGTTGGGATGCTGGGAGGTACCATTTGGAGCAAGATACCACCAGTGGCCCTAAAGAGAGGCAAAACTAGAGTAAATCCTGCAACAGAAACAAGCCCCAAACACAATACTTCTGCATTCTCAACCCTATAAAAAAGGAAAAATATACAAGTCAAATTACAACTGAAGAAATCGGGTTAGGAGGCAGACAAATTCATTTCTCTTCGAATGCATTTTTAATTTTCATCTCTCAATGCCAAATGGTCGTAATATGAAAAGGTATTTACCCGATGGACAATAGCCAGGACGCCAAAATCAAACCTGCACTGAGAAACCATTGAAGTATATCAGTTTGATACGAACTTGTAGAGGAAAAGAAATGCATTAAAATTGAAGGGGTGTTAGAATGTTATTGTCACACAGTACAATGACAAATAAATTCAAGTATATCTACCTGCGAATAGAATCTGTAAGAACATGCAGGAAAACAGAGTGGCAATTCATATCTTCTGCATTTCTGTAAGCTGCAATATAAATCCCAGAATAGACAGATAAAAGTTATCAGACTCAAGGCTCAAACGGAAATATCAAAACACGAGCATCCCTTTTGAAAAAGGCAAAACATTAAATCCTTAATCAGGTGAGTCTTAAACATGAGACAAATGCTAACCAAGATTTATCCGAGCATAGTTTCTAAAGAACAACACGCCAATGAGATTCACAAATAAATTGGTCACTGCAGAAACATTCAAATAATGCCTGCACACAGAAAACAGTCATAAGAAATACTAACTTAAATAAAAACTCAAGAACCATATTTTTAGAATGAAAGGCAAATAATTTAGATAAAAGAATCCCTTTCCTTAAAATTTGGATTGGACCTAACTCAACTTTACAAAACCGGCTTGTAAGGTGAAAACTCCCCCACTTATAATCATAGGTTGAGGTCATCTCTCATCCAATGTGAGACTCTTAACACATCCCTTCGCGCCCAGGACTGAACATTTGAAACCTAACTCAGGTGAACAGATACTAGAAACATGATAGTAAGTGGTTCAACGGATCTTTGATAGGTTCTGATACCATCTTAAAATTTGGGTTGATCCTAACTCAACCTTACAAACTTCTTGCTTGTAAGATGGGGATTGTCCCCACTTAGAAGCATATATTCAGGAAATCCCTCATCTAACGTGGCACTCTTAACAGAAAGAAACAAAATTTAGTTGCATGTGATGAAGACGGCAGGAAAATCTAGTTGTTGTATTTGTAATTTCAAAAATCCATTGATCTAGAAGCCACTCTTTCAAAATCCTAGACATTTATAACATGCATCCTAAAGCAAGGTATTTAGTAGCATTGTCTTTTGTGGGCTATATTTTGTGTCCTTTTCCAGAAATTAATGTTGTTACTTAATCGTTTTGTAAGTGTTAGGATCCTTTGAAGATTCAGATAGCAGAAGGAGAATTATTTGTCTGTTAGTTTCTTGAATGGAAACAAAAGAAGGTACACGAGAGATTCTAATCTCCTTTTGCTGGCATAACCCAAACCCAGTTAAGCAAGTTCAAAAAGCCAAGATCAATTAAAATGCTTTATGGAAGATTATTTATAGCCTCCCCAAAACACATATACAAACTAACAGCTTGACTAAAAACTATCTACCTAACTGGGTTTATTCTAACTAACTAACAACTCTAGCCTAACTAAAAAACATGAGGCTCAATGATTATTTCTAATCTTCTTCCTGTAGTAAACCCTTACCACATTTTCAGTAGAGGCTGTGACCTTAGTTCTTACAATTAGACAATAGTTATTTAACTGACATTAGGTAGGGAACTATTTGGCCTCTTTCTCTTGGGTGTGATGCCTAGGCTAATAATTTTAGGTGTTTATAGGTTTATATGTTTTGCCACTTCTCATCTTTTATTATTTGCTTATTATTTTTATCAACAATCATTTGAGCTATTAGACAGAAAGCTTTAAACCTTTGCTTAGTCAAGTCTTCAACTATCCGTTGCTTGAATTTCCCCAAATCCAAGCCCTCGTCATAATGCATGAAAACCAGACATGTCCACTATCCCATGAGTCATTAATTCCCTTAAATCATAATCTTGCTTCTCTTGAGAAAACCCTAAATTTGATATTTTCAACCCTATCTATGCCTTTACTGCAACACATGTGCATAAATAGACTGTTGGTGTAAGCCCTAGAGGCCAATATTTTTTGGTACTTGTATCAGATTATTCGTTTAATAATAAAAGGCATTTCTTTATTATGTTTGTCTTTCAGAATAATAAAGTCCCTAGAATAGTTAGTCTGTTTAATGAAATGTTAAGTGTGACTTAATCATGAGATCCCATTAAACATAAAGACATTATTCTTAAAATATCCGTAGTCAAGCTTTATTGCAAAGTGGGATAACATTAAAAGCATTGAGACTATTATGAAGATAGACTGATGATCACATCTCATGGATCATGGATAAAGAGTTATCAAGTCTTGATATAGGTATAAATATTAGGAGTAATATTTATACCGGATTGACCCGCTATGAGAATACTACATAGTATGTTATGCAAAGTGTCATAAGTTATTCTCATGGTGATAATGGTGTATTACCACCCTTCGACCTGAAACCACTATGGACCCTAGATGTAGAGTCGGGTGCTTTATTGCTGATCAAACATTATCCGTAACTGGATGATCATAAAGACAGTTGATGGGCACTCCACGAAGCATGCTGAGGGACATGAGTGTCCTAGATGGAATTTGCCAATCCTGCATAACAGGAGAAATGTCTAAGGGCCCAATATTGAACTGGACAAGGATGACACAGTGTATGCCTTGTGTTCAATATAGACATAGGGGCAAAAGGGTAATTGTACAAACATATATTATCACGAAAAAGGTTTTGTCAGATCACATGACATTTTCGTGACTTGGGTAGCAGTGATGTGTTGCTAGATACCGCTTACTGTTTATTATGTTAAATATATATAATTTAATATAATTACCAACGTTACGAAATCCTACAGGGTCACACACATAAGGACAGTTTGATGAGAGATAGAGAAATCAAAGGAACACCGTAAGGTACGGTGCACTTAAGTGAAAAATAGAAATTCGGATAATATAATAATAATTATTGTTATTTTATAATGGTTATAAAATAATAATAAAATAAATATATTTATTATAATAATAGTTATTATAATAATATATAATATTATTATGGATCATGTGAATTAGGGTTTTAACCCGCAGCCCACAAGAGAGTCTATAAAAGGAACCCTTGTGATGAAGCTTTCACTTGATGCAATTTCGTTTTTGATTCTCTTTTCTCACTCAAATAATTCCGTTCGTAAGCAGCTAGCACTGTGACCGGAAGCTGTTCGTGTGGACTGAGTAGAGGCGTTGCACTTCATCAACGCTTGTGATCGCTGCATCAAAGATCTGAATCGCCACAAAGAGGTAACGATTCTATCACTGACCATGCTCATTCGTGAGGATCACTAAAGGAAAATTTTTGTTTTCCGCTGCGTTTAGATCGCAATTTTCCTTCAGTGGTATCAGAGCCACTTACGAAACCATGGATCTGATAGCTGTTAAATTTCCGTCTTTTCTGTATTTGATTCGATTAAAACACAGAATGAATTTAACAATAAACGATTAATTAAATTTGGCATCTGTTGTGTACGATTTGGATGATTGATGTTGATTATGCTTCGGAATCCGACATTAGTATGGTGAAGTTGTGCGATACATTGATCATCCATAGGTTACACAATTAGATCGATCACTTTTATATAAGATATAAGAAATTCTGATGCAAAGATGGTATATGGGATATACTGTTTTGATTTCATCCATTCAATCACATAAGGATTGTAATTCTTTTGAAAGATCATCACTTTCATTCGCTTCGGAATCCGACGTTAGTATGGTGAAGCAATGATATGTTGATCTATCATATTGAGTTATCAATCGAGTTGTGTTTGACGGCATGAAATTGTTGCATTAGGATTAATGGCAGTACAAGTGTTGTATTGCCGCAGACTTTTCCGGTTGGGATTGTAAATGCACAAAAGTTGTGCAGGAAACGACGTGAAATACAATGAAGTGTTCATAAAAAATTTTCGCTGGGGCGCTGCCCCTAACAACCCCGCAAGGGGGCGCTGCCCCCTTGACCCCCGTCCGCTGAACGGTCAGCGGAACCACCGTCCGCTGACCGGGCAGCGGAACCCCCGGCTAAGTCTGCAAAGTGTGATCAATCAGTCGAAATTTAATTTAGTTTATTTAATTATCGGAATTTTAAACTAATAATAAAAGTGTGTTTATTATTATTTATTTGTGGTGATCAGTTATGGCCTTAGTTTTGTTTTGGGATTTTTGAATACGGCCTGCGTGTCGTGCCTCTCTCTCAATCTCTTTATGTAACTTCTTTTCTCATCTCACTCCCTCGTATGTAAAACGAGTTTTCTTATATGTAATGTAATATTATGTTATGAAAAGAAAAAAAAGGAAGTATTCAATATTAAAGGAGGATAACCTTGGAGATCATGCTTGGAGAAGCTTAGATCGTTATTAGGTTAGCTTAGGTTCTCTCATTGGCTTGAGAGAACAATTGCGTTAGGGGCCATAATTGTATCTTTTTATATGTATGTTGATGCATGTAATTGTATGTTGATGCATGTGAAAGACGTTTTGCATGTGAAGCCGGTGAGATCAAACTAATAACAAATTCCCTCAAAATTAAATATTAAGTTTATGCTTTCCAATTTTTAGCACTCATCAAGACTAGTATCGAGCATTGTAGGTTTCGCCTACGCGAGGTGCATGTTCTATATTAGTAAGGTGTGATGGGATAATTGTAATATCCAATTGCTAAAACAATGGGTCAAACTTAACTAAACAAATTATAATAAGATTATATATGTTTAGAAGCAAGAATTGGGAATGATTCATGTGATGGATCAGAATAAGGAGTTATTCACCCAATTGAAAATATTCGAGAGTTGTATGAGATACAATTGGAAGGAGTTCCTACCTAAATAACTTAGTTTTGTGTAATCAGCCTAACGCTGACTTAAAACAAAGTGAAACATGGATCTCGACCCACTAGAAAGTCTTCCAACGGGATTTTCCGAATCAAATGATGAGGGTCATTTGTTTTGAATAAAATAGTGGGAGCATATTTGATTAAAGGCCTAATTAAATATGTTGTTTTAATGATACTTATATTTTCATATTTCTCTTGTAGATTACCATGACAACAAACACATCGAACAATATTTTGCGATCCATCCTAGATAAGGAAAAATTGTCTGGGACAAATTTCCTGGATTGGCACCGTAATCTGAGGATTGTCCTCAAGCACGATAAGAAGCTGTATGTCTTGGAGACACCAGTTCCTGAGGAGGAACCTCCTAGTTCTGCACCAAAGGCAGAAAGAGATGCTTATAAGAAGCATTTCGATGATGCCAATGAAACCGCTTGCCTCATGCTTGCTACCATGAACTCTGAGTTGCAAAAGCAACACGAGAACATGTCTGCGTTCGATATGATCGGACATCTGAAAACGCTTTATCAAGAGCAAGCAAGAAATGAGAGGTTTCAGGTTTCAAAGTCCCTTTTTAACAGCAAGTTAGCTGAGGGAGCCCCTGTAAGTCCCCATGTACTCAAGATGATTGGGTATGTGGAGAACCTTGACAGATTAGGGTTTCCCCTTGGAAAGGAACTTGCGATTGATCTGATCTTGCAAT